AAAAGGATGACAGTGAAACAGTGAAAAAGGAAGATACTGATGCTGCACAATTTGACCTTGTAATTGATGAAGATAGAGAAGCTGAACGGGAGGCCATTGAGAAGCTTACTGGCATGATAGAGGAGAGGCTGAAGAACAAACCACTACCGCCTCCTCCCCCACAAATGGCTGTTGATGGTTCCAGCAACTCAAACTCAGAGCTGCCTTCTAGGTCACAGGATAGGGAACCAGAAGGGGATGCAGTGAAAAATGGTCAGTGTACTGCCCCCCCCCCACAAATGGCTGTTGATGGTTCCAGCAACTCAAACTCAGAGCTGCCTTCTAGGTCACAGGATAGGGAACTAGAAGGGGATGCAGTGAAAAATGGTCAGTGTACTGCATATTGGAAGAATGAAAGTTACGATGCTCATTCAATTGCCTTGGTCAGAATGTTTAATTCTTTCAAGTCTAACAAAATTTTCAAGAAACACCATTTACATGCTTCAACTTCATTTTTGCAGATTTATTAGAGGACAAAAATGAAGATGACAAAACTGCCAAAAGCAACCCCTCAAGTGAACATGATAGGACTGAAACTGGGTCACCTGATCGTAGTAGAAAGCATGATAGGAGCAGAGACCGAGATCGTGACCTGAAATGCGAAAAGGAAAGGGAACTTGAAAGATATGAGAGAGAACGAGAGCATGAAAGAGCCGAGAGAGAGAAGGATAGAGAATATAGGAGCCGTGAAGATGATCGCAGATATAAAGCACGTGAAAAAGAGTGGGAAGCTAGGGAAAGGGAGAAAGAACACTGGCGGAAGAGAGAGAGAGAAAAAGAGAAAGAGAGGGCACAAGAACGTAAGTGGGAAGTTGCTGACCAAGAGCATGATAGTGATGATGGATATGGGAAAAAGAGAAAATATAAGACTAGTGATGATGAGAGGAAAAGGAGACAAAGGGAGAAGGAAGAGGACTTGGCTGATAGATTGAGAGAGGAAGAAGAGATTGCAGAAGCTAAGAGGAAAGCTGAGGAAGAACAGCAGAAAACACAGCAAGGGGAGGAATTGAAAGTTATGTCTGGTCAACCATCTAATGGACTGGAGAAATCTATTTTGCCAGATGAAACCAATCTTGAAAACAAGGTTAATGTTGTCAATCAGACCTCTGATAGCAATCCTACTTTTGGTAATTACACCAGTAAGTCTTCTTGCTTAAGTGCATGAACATTATTCTACTCACTCCATATTGTTTCTCATATTACCTGGCATTTCATAATCAGGTGATGGGATTTTACAAAATGGCATTTGGGATGAAGATGTCACATCATCTAATGCTGCATCTGAGGCACGGCAAAACATCAATGCACCTGCTAAGAAGTTAGGATTTGGTGTTTCGGGGTCTGGAAAACAAACTGCGGTCCCTTCTGTATTTAACGAGGATGAGGACGAGGACATGCACATGGAGAAGAAGATGAGACCTCTGGTTCCAATTGATTACTCAACTGAGGAACAACAATTCTTTTCTGAGACCCCTTCGACAAAATATGGCTGCAGCTGCAGAATTTGCAAAGCGCGTTACAACAGCAAATTCTAAAGAGGAGAAGCCTCCTGTGGAAAAAGAAAAAGGAAGACGGTCTCATGAGAGATCTAGCCAACGAGATCGAGATAAACATGAAGAAGAGAGTTATCTCAGCTGCAAAGAAGGCAGAAAGGATAATTACGACAAAGAGAGGCCACATAAAGTGAAAACACCAGAAAAACAGAAGCTTTTGGATGCTAAACAGTTGATCGACACAATACCAAAGACCAAAATGAGTTGTTTTCGGACGAGATAAATTGGGCAATTTATGATCAGGTGATTAACTACTCCTGTCTAAACTTTTAAGTTCATTTGTGCGTACATTTTTAACAATGCTTCTTGTGATGTAATGGCTTTCATATAATTCTTTTAGGGCTCTCATTTGCTGGGTTTTTGATACCCAATAAATCTCGGGCTATGATGTTAACGTGGGTTAATATTATTTCATAGGCATAGGTCGATGAATGAAATAAGTCCAACAACCAGGTCCATGAGCTACACCTGGCCCAATTGTATTCCTTATGGATGACTTGAATCTTGGCCCGTTTATCCCTTTAATGGCCCAACATAAAGCCTAACCCTAGAGTATATATTTGGTTATAACCCTAGCCACTTTGATATGATGATTGTGTGATTTTGAGAGAAGAAATAGTGAATCCCGGCTGCCCCCCTTTTGTGTGAGAAAAAGGTGTCCAGAACGTTGGTATAACGTGTGTAATTGGTGGTTCTTTCATAGTATACCTTTGTGGTGTCTTCTCCTAGCCTTTGTGGCGATAAATCATCATCCTTTCTTGTCCTACGTGGGTAAGATTGAATACCAACCAAGGTGAATCAATCGGTTGTGGTTTGGAGCCGTTTGGATTGGTTGTTGGTAGAGAAAGGTATGTTGGACTGAGCCTGGAAAATCGCCATTTGAAAATCCTTTTGAGAGAGCTTCCGCAACATCAATAATGAATGACTTTCACAAGCTATATATATACTTGAACTAACTCTATCTTAGGCCAGACCTTGTTTCAAGAGGATTGGGTTTTCCTGGAATTTTCTTTGTTTTCACATTTTAACATTAGAACTTGGCTAGAAATGTTTCTTTCAAGTCTCTATGACAGGACAAAAACAACAAGATCAGAAAGGACTATAGAATGGCAACACTAAAATCCAAAGCACTGCAAAGTTCTAGTATTCTCACTTCAAAATTGTTAATTCCTCCTAAATTGGGTCCTTAAAAGTGAAAGATGGATTCTTGGACCTCGTAGTTTTGTTTTGCGTCACATTTTAATCTGTTCATGTACATGAATAGGTGTTGTTTTATGAGTTAGAATAATTTCACTAGATTGTCATGTTGTGGATTGATATTCCTAGGAGGATAGATGGAACATATGGGTTTAACGAGCTAGAATAATAATAATTCACATTATCTTCATTTCTTCATATTGTGAATTGATAAAAGTTGTATGTTCGTGAATTTCATAGAATGCACTGCAATAGAGAATGAGACCATGGATATCAAAGAAGATCATGGAATTTCTGGGAGAAGAAGAGGTTACGCTCGTGGACTATATTGTTTCCGGCACTCAGGAACATGTTGATGCAGGTGAGATGTTTGAAAGGCTGCAGAATATATTGGATGATGAAGCCGAAATGTTTGTGCTTAAGATGTGGAGGATGCTCATCTTTGAAATTAAGAAAGTCGAGACCGGCCTAGCAATGAGGTTGAGGTGTGATCTGATCTCTTTGAGTTCAGCCACTCGTAATTTTCTTGCCTTGGAGATCATTTTAGTTTTTTATATTTGGCATCCATTATTTATTTTCTTGTAGTATGGAGTAATGGAGGAAATTGTTGCCCTTTTTTGAAGATTTTTTTTTTGATTACGTTGTACAGATGCTGAGTCAAAAAAAGCTTCAATTAGTTTAGTGATTAAATAGTTCAGAAAAAACACTTGAAAGGTTGCACAAATTTTAGTAAATGCCGAAACATTTCAATATTTGAGTCTTGAGAAAGGCAAGAAAGAAAAGCAATAGCAGCAGTTGCACAATAGCTAGCATTGTAAGATTTCCGAACTGTTTGAAGCATTATGGGATTATTTTTGTTTGCCAAATTGTGGTTTTAAATTGAAGTGGTTTGATTTGAAAAAAAAAAAAAATTCAAAATTGCATTTAGTGATTTGATTTGAAATTTGGTTATAAACCATTTAAATCAAACTGTGTACATACGTGATAATTGGACATTTCGTTCAACCCAAGCAAATGAACTTAAAATTCTGCGCATGTTTGGTTAGTGAGCATTATTAGACAACTTTTAAGGTCTTTTAGGTCCTTAATTAGTCCAGTGTTCACTGTTCAGTACAAATCTATCATTCTAAGAAAACATATCATCAATGAATTATATTACCCAAAACCAAGACACAAGTCTAGGGGCGGACCTGGGAAGCTGCAGGGTCAATTGATCCCCAAGTTTTTGAAAAAACCTACACTATAAATGTATAATGCAACTGATGGTTTCAAACTCAACTTTATGCCTTGGTCTCTCTTTCATAATCCGCTTACTATGAATTGTCATTACCATTTACGGTTTACGCACTATTTAAAAGTTTGATTGTGATCCCCCAATCAAAAATGTTTGGATTTGCCCCTGGACACGATAGAACCATTGCCAGACGAACCAGTTAATACAAAACAAATACAATCCCTGCAGTCTCCGCATGTTGCAACAGGACAGTTTTGGGAGCCAAAATCATTAACGCATGAAGACACACCTATCGATACTTTTGCACTCCCAAATGATCAAAGAATCAAAATGATCGGGTACCTGTCCTTCGGATCCTGTTCCAACAACGTCCCATAAGGTTGATTTCCATAACTTTCCGTTTAAAGCCTGAATTCAGATCCTTATAGTACTCGATCACAAGAAGTCTAGAAAATAAAGTTTAATACATAAGCACAGTACTGACAATAAAATAAAGATTGGCACTTTGTCTCAGTCCACAAGCATCTTGAGGATATATAACTTTGGTTAGAACCCGTAAAACTGAAACAAGGACACCTGCAATCCGTAAACAATAGACAAATAACTTTTGCGTTTCCCTCACAAAAATGAATTTTCATTAGAATGTGTGTGTAAATAGCACCACACTGCACCACAAAGGCATGTAATTCGGCACACACCGTCTTCTTAAGATGCCTAGAGGACACTGTCTTCTTAGACCAAAAGGGAAACATGAGACAGCCATTAAGGAACATCACGACCTACAAGCACCCCCAAAACTTGTTCCAAGTCCAGGCATTTTTTTAATTAAAATTGACCTGAAATCCACCTTAACTTGATAGTCCTATAATGCCAAGAGTATGTTGTTATGACAATAAGTGCAGCAACTGAAGTTAAGGCCTAGGTGGGAAAACAATGTTTGGTTTTCATCTAAAATAACTTGAAACATAAGATCAGAATAGGAATCAACCTGTGAACAATCCTGATATTTATAAAATAAAATTCTTCACACAACATTTGTAAAAGAACACAAATTTTCAAGCCGTATTTGATCTATAAATCCCTTTCTAGATGAACCTAGTGATCAAGGGTTCTTCATCTAAATCCTAAACTTCAAGCGGTATTTGATTGATAAATCCCTTTCTATATGATCCTAGGGATCAAGGGTTCTTCATCTTAATCCTAAATTTCCTGGCTATATGTGCAGCTCTGGGATGTACTGGCCTCTTAATCGGATAGCTTTGTTCCACCTCTATCCAATTAATCACCTTCAAAATTAGTGATTGTGGAACTTTTCGAGCATCGGATTCTCCTGTTCCTTTAGATTTTTGCATACCCTTTTCCAATGCTTTCTCTAGAAATTCCATAAACCAATTTCCAGCTTCAGTTTCAATCTGCTTTCCCAGTTTGGTGGTATTCGATATGCTGCAAGAAGAAGCCGGTTTCATGTTTTCGTCATTTTCAGTTTCAGCTTCAGGGACTGCTCCCTTATTTTCTAAACTCGCCTTCTGGTTAAGATTTGAAGATCTCAAATGTTTTCCCAAAATCATCTGCTGCTCGTTTCTTTCAGGAAAAGTTGCCATTGATTTGTAAAGCGCGGATCTTCTTTTTGATGCATTGGACTCCAGTTTCTGTTGTTGATCTATTGAATTGTGGACTATTTCATGTAAAATAGAGCCATCTTCTTCATGGTATTTTCCCACGATTTTCTTTGGTTCTGCATTTTTTGTTTGAACCATTTCAGTTGCTGCTTGAACAGACACCATTTCAGCCACCGCTTGAGTAATTTGGCTGTGAAACTCGAGAAACTGATCGAAACAAGCTGCAGGGGCTTCTGTTTTAGCCGATTTTGTCAAGTTCGAGAACATCCTATGAGCAACAAAATGAGATTAGACGAGTTTCCATAATTCATAAAAAAAACAGAGAAGGGTTTAAGGATACAATTTGTACTTGAGAGAACGAACAATATTTTCAGTTGCTGTAGCATCTCTCAGTGCTTGAAGGGCAATCTTCTGCGCTATTTCTCGCTGTTGCACCGCTTCCTAATACACATCAACAACAAAGAGTTAGTATTAAGTTGTAGTCCAACCTACCAAACAAGATATATATGATGTTTTTATTCTATCTTTAATATCATCGAGTACTGTCTAATACACATTGCGAATGTGCTATTAAGGAATCAAGGGTTCACCTTTCCGAGCATGCTAAGCTTTCCAGGTAAATTCATGGGAAGACTGGTATTCGGGGAGGCCGAATAACAAGGTTGAGATTGTGATTGTGAAGTCATCTTTGAATTCGAGTCACTTTGTGCATTTGCTGTAACAGTGGAAGAAACTGCAGTATTTGCATTCCGCAAACTCGGAGGTGGAGTTGAACTCTTTTTCTCCTGAAAAACATAGAGAAGTGGTATTCTTTTCAATTTTCACCATTTTGGATACAGTATTAATCTAAATATAATTTAAGGGAAAGGTGTACCTACAGCTGTGTTGAAGGGACATTTCAAAATCCTTTGTTCTCTATCACAGACACTTTTGCTCCTTGAATACTTGGACATAGAGGGTGTTATACAACTTTTCCTAATCAATGGGCTTTCCCCTTTAGTCTCCACCATTTTAGACAAAATCGCACCACCAACTGACGACCTGAAAACTCCACCCGCGCTTCCATCTCGCTGTGTTCTCCCTCGAATCATTGGCGATATAGGAAAATTACCAGCAAATTTCACAGCACTAGGTGGCCTCTCTTTAACCGGTGTACATTGATCAAAATCCAAAGGTACCGGTTTCAAAACACTTGGCGAGGAAATATTCTCACCCCCATTAGGCCCAATTCCCCAAGAACCCCTTCTAGGAGCTGCGATTTTTTGTTCACTTTTCTCTCCCTTTTGTCTCAATCCCATCAATGGTTCCGGCGTTCCCACTAATGGGTGCCTCCCCGGAAGTGGCTTGGCGCCCTTAACAATGGGAACCGGCGATCCGGGCTCCAATTTGTCAACATAAATAAATTGTCCCAATTGCATTTTGTTGCTTAGAACAAGATCATCTTGCTCGAGAGGTAAACTAACATAAATTGAGTGCGAAGAATCCGATACCTTGATGTAGAACCCATGTTTTGGCAAAAGATTCTTTTCATCAAGATCTGCAGGAACTATATCAGTAACCTGTAAAAGTGAACTCCTGTGCTCACTCGTGGGCTTCACCCCTGTATTCACCCCATTCAGTAGCTTCAACAAAATTCCAGGAGCCAACGCCGCCATGATCTTTGTCAATTACCCAGAAAACAACAAATCGAGGAAATAAAGACGACAAAAAAAGCAGAAAACAGACGGATTTTTCTGATCAAGAAACCTAGAAAATGGGGGAGGGGGAAGCCTGCAGCTTCTAATTTTGAAGAAAAAGTATTTTTTTCGATCAAAATAAGAAAATTGTAAAAGAACGAAACTTATATTTTAGAATTTACATTTATTGAATTCACGGTGAATTCATGTTTACAAGAAGGTTTTGCGAGTGGTAAAGATTGAGAGTGGTGTGGCCTAACGGTAACCAGGAATAAAAAGATATTTGAATATGGTGAATTGAAACGTTGCAAACAACAACGGTCATATATGAAGGTGGGTCCGGGTCATACCTCACCGGCCACGTCATTAAGTTTTGAAAATGCGGGCCATTTTTGCTTTGCTCGGCAAAACTAAAAGCGATGATTAGAATTTATTGTGGTTCAAGAATGATTGAATGCCGCTTAGGCCCTGTTTGTGGCACTTTAGCCCCGTTTGATCCTCATTAAATTCAATTACATTACATTCCATTTTTCTTTCTCCTATTTTCAATTATACAATTTTTCATAAAATAATATTACACGTAAATCGAAAAATATTAATGGGGTCAAACAGGGGCTTAATTTCAAGAATTGGAGTATGGAATAGTGATTGATATTGAAATGTATGGTTAAAAAAGAAGAATTTTTTTTATTTATGTGTAATATTATTTTAATGAAAAATGTGTGGTTGAAAATGAGTACTGAATTTGAGAGAATGGTTGACAAACAAAGACTTAGTGTGCTTTGTTGACGTGATCACAAAAAATTATGTCATCCTAATGTCTTACATATTTATAATGAAAATGGAGTGAATTTCTTTTCGATAAGGTCTCGTTTGATTTTTATTTTTATCAAAATATATTTTTTTCTATCTTTTTTTTAACCACATATTCTTCATTATAATAATATTACACATAAACCAAAAATTTTTCCTTATTTTTTATCAATACATTTTCCATCAATTTACTATTCTAAAATTCATTTTTTCATAAAAATAGTTGTCAAACACCCTCTAAATAAGCACTTTCAATTGACAAATAGTTTTAAAAAAACGATCTACGTCTTTTAATTGCGCAAATTGTCCTTTGAAAATGAATGCTCCTATCCGTCCTTAAGGAAAGGCGCAAAAGTCGTTGGACCTTTCTCATTTAGCTTGAACTAAGTCAAGCTTTTTCAAGTTAAAAACTATCTTGTTAAAATCTAAAATAACTACGACATTTAATTAACGTAATCTAGGTATTTATTTAAAAAAAAAAAAAAAAGTCTGGATGTCAACAAGTAATGAGAACAAGTACTATTAAATGTAATATTTAAATAATTTACATATGATCCAATTTATTATCTTAAATTTTTAAATCTAGTGATTCAACTAGTATGATCAAAATCATAAAATAATTCCGACAAAGCTCGGTGATTGAACATTCAATGGAGAAATCGACAAAAGATTTGATAACTTTATTTCTATATTCCTTTTCACCTTGAAATGTTGATTCATCTATGATTTCCCATTTCTCTTATCGTTATAAATATGTACTTTTGTAGTCAATTGCATATACACTTTGCCCCCATTTGATAGTCATTTTTCTGTGTAGAATGGGTTATTAAATAGTAAAATTTTGAAGAATATGTGATTAAAAAGTAGGAAATTTTTTTGAGTTTATGTGAAAAATATTTTATTGTAAAATTGTGTGGTTGAATATAAATACGAAATAGATAAATAATAATAATAAAAAAAAGAGTCTTGAAAGATTGGTCGTCAAACATAAGCTTAAAAACGCTAGGCTTAATTAAAACGTTCGCTCATTTTTATCTATGATTATCTTCGAGTTCTTTTTCTTGACTTCATCTTTGGTTCATGGCTAAGCATCATCTCGAAGTAACAACAGCCAAGCAATAAAAACCATGGTATTCCATCTGTTACATCACCGTCGAGGGGTATCAACACGATCTTGAAATCCTCCCCACTCTTCTTTCAACCTTCGATAAACTCCAACAAGCTTCGGAGTAAAGGCAAGACATTTGAGGAGAAATACAAGCCTAAAATTTTGCCTTCAAGTTCAGCTATAAGTACCTTATAAACAAAATCAAATAATAATGGAAAACAATGTGAAAATGCATCTCTTGACCTACTGTACCCGAAAGCTTACTCCTTTCAGAAAGGACACTATATTTAAATTTTATCTTCAACACACCACCTCACTTTTAACCTATAAAATGTAAAAGCACAAACCTTCCAGCTGTACAAAATGTAACAAAACAACCATTTGAATACCTGATCACAATTGTCTGCGACAAGGGACTCTTTGTTTGAAGAATGGAGATCAAATTTTTCTTTGCCCATCATTTTTTTAATGTCTTCTATACAATTTGATAATAAAAATAAAAGAAGGGTCCCCATTTTAGCCTCGTTTTTGTTGTAAACTTAATTACAGAATACAGGAAAAAGTGAATATTCAGCATGAGGGAGTGTAAACTCGAAAATTCAGAGCTAAATAAAACTATTAAGCAAAGTTTACTTTCGCAGAAGGATTAACTTCAGTTCAAAGATGAGTGTGATTCACAATCCATGTGCTAAGAAATATTCATCATCCATAAAGATCAAATAACATTGTCTATGGAAATATGCATTGAGAAAGTCCACGCATAGAAAAGAGAGGAGTTTTTTCAACTATCTCAAAATGGAATTATCCAAGTCTATGCTATGATTCCATACTTTGTAAGGGTAGAAACATCAATATTTAATATGTTTAGTTTCCTTTTCAGACCTATTAATCTTGAGCAAGAACTAAAGGAGTACTTGAATTGTCGTACAGCACTCGAGGATCGGAAATTCTGGTTCCAAAAATCAGGAAATGAATCATTGGAGAATGATTCTGTGAAATCGAGGCTCAGGGCTTGTCAATTTAATCCCAGGTAGCAACTCTAGGATGGCAATGGGCGAGGAATCGCGATTAATTGGGTCTGCAGGACGGGTACTAGACAGAAAGTCTGCCCCGCATCGAGATGAGTCAGGGTGACAGAGAATGGGGTCTCCACCTCGAATTACATTTTTTTTCCTTATAATATAATGAAATCGTTCTTCCAATTCATAAATTTGACACACTTATTTGACAAATAATCACTATTTTTAATTTAAATCAATCCAACGCTCAATACATATTTCACTAAGATTAGGGACGGATCCAAAACCGGGCTAAAAAATTTTAAACTGGACTAATACGCGAAAGAAAAAATTTACACATAAAAACTGATTTTTTATTTTAAAAAATTAAAAAATATCCTTAAAAAAAAAAAAAATTCTTGGGCTTGGGGGGCCACAACCCAGCCCAATCCTCCCTCAAATCCGTCCCCGACTAAGATCATGTGAGAGTTCATTTTAACTACTTGAAATCCATAAGATATTGGACATTGAATTGACTTCAATTTTTCTCACTTCTAAAATAATAAAAAAAAATTGTAAATTGAATAGGAGATATTCGCCAAATGGCCCCAAGGTACCATTGCATGCTGGGAATCTAATCATAATATCGAACTCATCTTTATCTCGTGATGATGTTATCTTGTTAAAATCCGAAAGTACTTCACGCATTAGCTTCCAACTATAAATTTCAGCTATCCATTAATTTCATGTCATTGTTTAAAAAATAATCAATAAGCCTAACATATATATCAATCTTACCCAAGTCACCAAACATGATGCTAAAGAGTCTAATAGGGTTCTGGGTCAAATCCCTGGATTGTGATTGCTTCAAATTCCTTCATTTTTTTTATTGTCTTCTGGAATATTTCACGTCTCTTTTAATGTCTTTTTGTTTGATCCACATTATTTTCAAAAAAATATATTCTTTAATAGTGATTTGACATCATTTCAATCACATATTCTTCAATAAAATAATATTACAAGTAAATCTAAAATTTTTCCTTATTTTTTAACCGCAAGTCTTATTGATTTGACATGAATAATGCATTTTTCCTTATAATGTGACTCAAACATGGGCGGTGTGTATAATCTCTCTATATTTATATTTAAGTTGCATATTTTTTACAATATAATATTTTTTTCGTTTTTAACATTGTTTAATTATAATCGTCTACCAAGTCATAAATGGTTTGATGGAGGAAATTGTTAAGAATTAGAAAAATGTAATTTCAATTGTGATTATGCCCTAGAAGTATGGGGGCATGGGTTTGGTACCTAACACTAATAATTATAAATTTTTTTTTTTAACAAGGTGTCCCAGCTTGCGCCAGACTATATCCTCGTCCCTGAACCTCCGGCCCCTCAGCTGCTCAGGGAGGTAAATCGCAGGATGTGCTCATGTTGGTTCCCAAATTCCCACATGACTTTTACTCCTTCGCCAAAGGGAGCCTCCTCCGTGGTGATTAATCCACCAATAATTCCTCCTTTTTTGGATCAAAGGTTCCCACCAGGAATCGAACTCTCGACGCTTGGTTTCAGAGCCCTCCAATGTGATTGTTCCGCCAACTTGAATGTGCCCTGAGGGACTAATAATTATAAATTTCTTACTTGCAGACTCGGAGGAGGAAAGGTCAAATGCTAGTCAAAGTAGAACATATTGCTTCATATTTGTATGCTTATTCCTATTTATTGAACCTCTCTACATTAACAAGGCCTGTGCAGCACTGGTAATACAATGGGGCCAGCTAGTTCGTGGCCTTGGTAAAGGGGTTTAACCCATATTTGTGTTGGATAAGCTTTTAAATCAATCTTTGTTTGGATCATAAATTATATTTTATCTTTGGAATTGCTACACGAACAGGGGCCTGTCACATGTTCCTGTGACAGGCACTTTAGCCCTTGATCTGAAACTTTACAGCTCCTATTTGAGTAGTAAATTTCTTATATCTTTGCTTGTGTAAAGGTTAAGAAATCAAATGGAATTGAGGAAGGCAAAAAAGTGAGGTACTTGTTTCATTGAAGCGATCCATTTTGATTTAATTAGTTGAAATGGATTTAGATTTTATACTTACAAAATAAATCATTATTGGTATTAAAATTACACCGTGTAAACAAATACTAGAATATAACGTTTATCACGATTAAGCAATCGATCGATTGATTAGAAGTGAGTGAGAGTGTGTTTTGAACTTCCTTCCTTTTTTTTCTTTCTTTTTTTTTTTTCTTTTTAATGCGAAAATGATTTGATATGATAAATAAATAATGTAAAATGAATAAGCATTCAAATTATAAAATATTTGTATAT